ATCTGCGCCGCCGAGATGTCCCACAGATGGGCCATCACATGGCCGCCAGGAAGCTCCGGGACAGACAGAAGGGGAGAAAACGACAGTGCCGACTGGGAACAGCGTCATGGTAGGCGTGCTGGCCGGGCGCAGAGTGCTGCTAGCGTTCCGGATTATGTTTCGAACCGTAGAGAACTTGAGGCGCCGCGTCCTGTCATTCCGCGAGGGAGGTCTCGCGGCAGAGATGATAGTTCCAGTTCGGCTCTTTCCGGTTCGTCAGAGTCTTGCGGAACATTGTCGTGCGATGAAGACGATCTAGCCACCGATGACACGAGTCGCGTCTTCGCGAAGGCAGACCGGGCACCGGGGCTGGGGCTGTCCGCGGACAGGAACGCGAAGAGGTTTCCTCCGATCGCAGCCCGGAAAGCAAAGACAGCCGCTGAGCGCGCCGAGAAGAAGAAATCAAAGAGGGCGACGACAACGACTACTGACTGACCAGTGGGCCAGCCTTTGGCCACTTTTAGAAGAAAGAGTTTGGGGTTGTGAAGCGACTTCGCCCCTCTTCGAGTCGTCTTGTCCATCCTTCTTCTTGCCCTGTTTCTCCTTGCCCCCCGTTTCTGGCGCTGGCTGTCACTTCTCGCGACCGCTGCCGTTCAGGGCTCTTGGGCCGCTCGCCGCGCGCCCTGCAGAGAGAGCGAGCGCCCGGCCCTCCTGGAGACCCCCGCCGGGCATGTCATCTCCCTGGAGCTCTCGCGCCTCGCTGGCGTTCGTTTGAAACGTCTTCAACTGGGGCCTTCGGTGGAGCTCCTTATGGGGCCGCGAAGCGCTGTGCTGGGTGTGGCGGACGCACGTGGCCATTCCCACTGGGGCTTTAGGTGGAGCTCCCTGTAGGGCCACGGAGTGATGCGCCGGGTGTGGCGGACGCATGTGGCCACCCCACTGGGGCCTTCTATGGGGCTCCCTGCATGGCCACGAAGCGCTGCGCTGGGCGTTGTGGACGCATGTGGCCACCCCCACTGGGGCCCGAGGTGGAGCTCCCCAGGGGACCGCGAAACGCCGTGCTGGGCGCGGCGGACGCATGCGGACACCCCCACAGGGGCCTTCGGTGGAGCTTCTCATAAGACCACGGAGCGCTGTGCTGGGCGTGGTGGACGCACGTGGCAACCCTCACTGGGGCTTTAGGTGGCGCTTCCACTGGGGCCACGAATCGATGCACTGGGCGTGGCGGACGCATGTGGCCACCCCCGCTGCGGCTTTAGGTGGAGCTCCTCCTTGTAAGGCCGCGAAGCGCTGCACTGGCCGTGGTGGGCGCATCTGGCAAACCCCGCTGGGGCCTGAGGTGGAGCTCCTTAGGGGGCCGCGAACGCGGTACTGGGTGCGGCGGACGCATGTGGCCACCCCCACTGGGGCCTTCGGTGGAGCTCCTTATTGGGCCACGGAACGCTGTGCTGGGCGTGGCGGACGCATGTGGCAACCCTCGTTGGGGCTTTCGGTGGCGCTTCCTCTGGGGTCACGAAGCGCTGCGCTGGGCGTGGCGGGCGCATGTGGCCACCCCCGGTGGGGCCTTGGGTGGGGCCCCCTACGGGGCCACGAAGCGCTGTGCTGGGTGTGGCGGGCGCATGTGGCCACCCCCGCTGGGGCCTTACGTGGGGCTCCTTATAAGGCCACGAAGCGTGCGAGGGGTGTGCCGACATGGGTATGGCGGATGCATGTTGCCACCCCCATTGGGGCGTTGGGTGGAGCTCCCAATGGGGCCACGAAGCGTTGTGCTGGGTGTGGCGGACGCATGTGGCCACCCCCGCCGGGGCCATAGATGGAGTTGGCTATGGGGCCATGCAGCGCTGCACTGGGTGTGGTGGACGCACGTGGCGCCCCCCGCTGGGGCCTTAGGTGGAGCTCCCTCCTTATAAGGCCACGGAACGCTGCGCTGGGCGTGGCGGACGCATGCGGACCCCCCCACTGGGGCCGCAATTGGCGCTCGACGCGAGGTCGGAGATCGCCGAGAGGCACCAGGGCCCAGCGCAGCACCGCGCGACGGGGAAGCACGATAACAAGCTGAGCAATGACGAGTACAGCGCCGAGGCCCACGGGATGCCGTCGGAGATCTGGGAGACGATGAAGAGGGTTGCCAAGTTGGCGGCCAGGAAGTCGGCGATCACGAAGGAGGAGCGCACGGCGGCAGAGGAGAGGGCTCTGGCGCGGGCTCTTCCTGAGAAGTCATGATGAAGTACGAGGCTGAGGGGTGGCCGACCGCAGCCGGTGCCAACGGGCTGCTGGGGCGCACGGTGCCAATGGACTTGCTGCCGCTGCCCGCGGCGCCGCTCAACCCAGCTCGCGGGTCGAGGGCCCTTCCTCGACGCGCCGCGCAGAAGCTCGGCCGTGAGACTGCCATCGGCCGCCGCGTGAACGACTGCATCGCCGGCCTCGACGACCCGCGCGGGGACGGCGACTTTTGCTCGGAGGCGCGCCCTTCGGAGGCGCAGTTTTCAGCTGTGGATGTGATCTGGGCGGCGGCCGCTGACGACAAGCCCCCCGAGGACCTCCCCAGCCCCGAGGCAGCCCTGGGGAAGTTGCTCGGCTCGGACACTCTGGGCTACAGTCCAGAAGGTGCCACAGTGGTTGCGCCGTGCGACCGCGATCTGGTTTCATGGCCCGAGCCGGCGGGCTGCGTGAGCTCGTTGGAGGTGCTGCCGGACCCCGATCGCCAGGAGATGATCGACGGTGACAGTTCGCCTTTACTTCGCGCTGATGAGGTGCGCCCTGACGCCGCAAATGTGCACTGGGATGAGACCCTGCGCGACAACAGAGACGAGCACGTGGCATTTGTCCAGGACTTGCTGCGGCGGGATATGGTCGAGCTGCGCGCGCGTCGAGATTTTGATGCGGGCGTGCTCTTCGCGAGGAAGAGGTCGGTGAGATCCGCTTGATTGTGGGCGCGAGGGCGGTCAACCAGGCGCCGAGGCGGCCCGCCTCGATCCACTTGGCGTCGACGGCGGCGCTGGTGGGCCTTGAGGCAGAGCCCGACATGCAGCTGGAGTTGTCCATTCAGGACATCGCCGATTGCTTCTACCAGTTCAGGGCGCCAGACTACATGGCCCCGCGGTTCGGGATGCGGCCGCGGCGGGCGCGAGAGCTGGGCGTAAAGGTGGTGCAGGGTCAGGGCGTGGCCGGTGGTGCGTGGGTTTACCCATGCCCTGCGGGCGCTGCCCATGGGATTCTCGCGGGCGATGCGACGGGCCCAGCAGGCGCATCGCGAGCTGCTCCGCCGCGGCGGGCTCGGCGGCATCGAGGGCGAGTTGGCGGGCCGCCAGCTGGCCCTGGGCGCCCAGCCGGCACCGCGCGCGGCGCGCGCCGGCAATGAGATCCACGCGTCGCCCTGGCCCGGGGCAACAGGGCAGGCGCGCAGGCGGGCCGCCGCGGTGATGGCGCAGGTCGGGCCGCCGCTGCGCGAGGTGGAGGGGCCCGAGCTCGGTGGAGGCGCTGGGGCTGGAGCTGGGCGGCGCCCAGCTGAAGGCGCGGCCGGCGCAGGCGAAGCGTTGGCGACTGCTGCCGGGCACGAAGGCCCCCCCGCGGCGCAGGCGGGTTGCGGGCCGAGAGGTGGAGAAGCTGATCGGCCGCTTCACGCGCGCGATGCTGCTGAATAGGCCGGCCCTGAGCGCCTTCAGGTCGGTCTACGACTACGCGAGGCGACGCTGCCGGGGGCCCTTTGCAGTGCGACCCTCGGCGAGGCAGGAGTTGATCAACGCGATGAACTTGCCGCCGCTGCTCATGGTCGAGTTCAGCCTGCTGCGGTCCAGGCGGGTGACCTGCTCGGGCGCCGCGCTCGGAGGTTGCGCCGTGCAGGGGGCCGACGTCGACGCGAAGGTGGTGCGCGAGGTGGGGCGTTGGCGCGAGCGCTGGCGCTTCCGCATCGCGCAGGCGCGGCGGCCGCGATAATTGGCGCTCGGCTGTCAGGGCGCCGCAGAGGGAAAGGCATCTCCTGTCTCTTGCCATCGCATCGCCCACCCCGCCGTCAGTGATCCGACAGGAGACCCGCCAGGCCTCGAAGTTGTCCGAGCTGCTGCCGATCCTCCTGCGGGTGTCTCGGGAGAGCCCGTCGGCGCTGGGATTTATGGAGATCCTGGGCCTGTCCGTCTTGGTGGCCTGCCAGGGGCGCAAGCCTCGTCGTGGATATCAGGAAGAAGTTGGGGACCTCGCAGGGCTCGTGGGGGGCCAGCGAGGACCTCCTCATGCTTCGGGCGATCTGGGGCTTCTTCAGGATATCTTCGGGCCACAAGAGGAGGAGGAGGAGGTGGAAGCGGGGATCAATGCGCAATTTCCCGAGTTACCAGAGAGTTTCGCGAAGGGGGCGTCTCGGGCGACCACGCAGGCAAGGGGGCACCAGAAGAGGGCGGATATTCACATCAAGGAGTTGAGGGCTGCATTATTCGGTTGGAGGAGGAAGTGTCGACAGAAGCGGCATCATCGGTCGCGGCATCTTTTCTTATGCGACAACGCGGGTATGGTGTTGGGTCTTGAGAAGGGCCGAGCTGTTTCCCATCCGGTGCTCGTTCTGTTCAGGAAGTGGGCAGCCCTTTGTCTGGCCACTTTTGCTCGCGCCAGTGTGAGATGGATTGCCGGCGAGCTCGGCCCGTCGGATGAGCCCAGTCGGCGGTTCGACTCGCCTGCCGAGAAGGCGGCGGCCGCGGCGCTGGGGGCTTACCGGCGAGAGGCAGGTGGGGCGCGCTCGAGCGCAGGCCGCGCGGGCTGGCGCGCCCGGGCTTGGGGGCCCGCGGTTGGCGCCACCGCGCCTGGGGCGCCTCGCCAGGAGCTCGCGCTGATGAGGCGGGCCCACTTGCGAGGCGGCCCGCCGCGAGTGCGGCCGGGGGAGGTGGGGCCCCCCTTTTCCTTCGCCCATCGCGCGGAGCGGCGGAGGCCCAGGGGTGTTGGACCGCGCCGCGGCCTCTTTCATCGACGAGGTTTCGCCCGCGCCCTGCGCGCCGGAGCGGCCGCCTGCCACTGGCGCCGTTGGGGGGCGCGAGGAATCGGGCCAAGGAGGACCAGGGGTCCCCTGGTGGGCTCGCCGCGCTGGGGCACGAGAGCAACTCCGTGGGGGCCAAGCAGGACAACCAGATGAGGCGGGCGCAGTTCGACGACTTCTGCAGGGTCCACAGGCTCGAAGCGGAGACCGACGCGGGCCTCGTGGAGGCGCCGGTAGAGTTCATGGGCCCGACGGGCAGCAGCGAGAAGCCATCCAGCAGCAAGACCAAGCTGCTCGCGACGGTCGGCCATCGCGACCATCGGCTTCCCCCCACACTGGTCACCGGTTGTCGCTGCCGCGCGAGGCGCGGGCGCTGCCGGGCTGGGGGAGGCTGGGGCAGCCCTCGCACCGCTCGTCAGCCAGAAGCGGAAGCGAGCGGGGCTGGGGGTGGCAGGGGAGAGCGTGGCGACCACGACGAGAGGCCTCAACGAGTTCATACTGTTGGTCAGCCCTCGCCAGCCGTACCTTGGCCCGATGGAGCAGCTAGCCGCGGACCTGGGCCCCGCGCAGCTTCCTTTGCCGTGGTCGAGCGCGGCCAACAATGCTCCGTTCCGGAATGCGTTGCGCCTGACAGGGTTCGACGGCTGAGAGCAGACGCCCTACGTCCCGCCTGTTCTGCGTCCTGCCGCAGCAGGCTCACCAAGAGCAAAACCTTCGAGTCGTTCAAGCATCGCGGGGGATGGGCCTCGGATCTCAGCGTCGCAGAGTGCGAGGAAGGCTCGGGGGCGTTGCGCGGGAGGGCCGCGCTGGATCGCGGGCGCTGACTACTGCTGGCCGAGGCCGACGCCCACGTGGAAGGCGCCCCGCGCGCCGGCTGCGCCGTGGTGTTCGACCAGAGGCAGCAGGAGCAGGCGCTTGCCTGATGCCGCCGCTCAAACCTGTCGACAGCCGCCCTCGTTCGCTTGAGCTGTTTGCAGGAGCGAAGGGCTTGTCTTTTTCGTTGCGGCGTAGAGGTTGGAAGACTGAAATCTCTGAGATCCGCGATGCAAGTGATCAGGTGTTAACTAGAGAGAGAGTTCTGAGGCATGTGCTGCCGAGGTTGCCGCATGTAGAATATGTGATATTGGCACGGCCTGCGCCCGTTTCTCAGGTGCGAGACGAGGCAAACCTGGATCGCCGGGAGGCCCTCTGCGATCTCGGCAGTTTCCTGAAGGTTTCCTTCGTCTCAAGTCGACTGATGCTGAAACAGTGCGCATGGGCAACCGTTTGCTGCAGATCTCCATGCGTGTGATCAGAGCGTGCATGAAGCATACTGTAATTGCATAGTGCTACTGCCATCGCCCGTTGGGATGGAGGTCGAAACATTTTCGGTCAGTTGTCGGCCGCGTGTGCGGGCCCAGTGTGTCGTTTCTCTGGCCGACGGCGCCAGGTGTTAGAAGGTAGAGCACCAGGCGGCCGCCTCTGGACGCCGGTGGCAGAGCCCTACCCTCCTCGCCTCCTCTCCCTTTGGTCACAGTGTGTGCATGATGCGTGTGCTGAAGAGCTCACTGCTGAATCGTCTAAGAAGTATGAGCCGCCTCAACCGCCAGGTCGCAGATCATGGTGGTTGGTGGCGATATTGTCTGTGCTGAAAGCGAGCTCGCTCTCAAGAGTTGGCTCGCAGTATTGTGCAGCCAGTGTCGCAAAGCGAGCTTGGCAACGCTGCGAGAATCATCCTGGCCTTGTCAGAAACAAGTGCATGTAGCAGCGTTGTGCAACCCAGTGTAACAGAGCGCGCAATGCTGTTGTTGATGCGCTTGGCCGCTGCCCTTGTGGCTCATGCGGTTGATTTCGTGCCCTAAGCCAGCCCACTCCGTGCCTCATCAGTGGAATTTTGCAAAGTCAAAGCGGAAGGTTGTTTAAGATTGTCTGTGCTGAAAGCGAGCTCGCTGTCAAGAGCTGGCTCGCAGTAGTGTGCATCCAGCGTCGCAGAGCGAGCGTGGCCACACTTCGAGAATCATCCTGGCCCTGTCAGAAACAAGTGCATCCTCATCCCTCCTCATCGTCCTTCTCCTCATTCCTCCTCCTGCTCCTCCTCCTCCTCGTCCCTCCTCACCAGCAGCGCGACAAGGGTGGGGGGCCGCGGCCGCGCGCGCGGCCCGGCCCGCGCCGCGCCCCGCCATCCCTCGGGAGACAGGCCGCGGCCAGGCCCAGGCCAGCGGGGTCGTCGCCCGCGTGGTTCGGATCCTGGACGCCCGCGCGCAGTGTTGAATCGGGCCTGTCCCTCCACAGGAAGAAAATTCAAAAATAATAGAAAGATAGTCAGGGGATGTTTTTTTGATTATTTCTGAAAGTCTATACGACCACCCTTCGGGTGATACAGAGGTTGTGGGGGGGGGAGAGGGGGGGCAACCAACGTATAACCCAATCGATTTGACGATCGATCTCACTCAACGGGACACCACGGGACACCACGGGACACGTGTCGATCTCACTATCGATCTCACGATCGATCTCAGTCAACGGGACACCACGGGACACCACGGGACACCACGGGACACCGCGGGACACTTCTCGATCTCATTTTCGGTATCACTATAGATTTCACTATCGATTTCACTCAACGGGACACCGTAGGACACCACGGGACACTTCGGGACACCACATCGATCCCACTATCGATTTCACTATCGGTCACAGTCAACGGGACACCACGGGACACCACGGGACACCACGGGACACCATGGGACACCGCGGGACACCGCGAGCCAACGCCAGACGGGCGGGCGGGGGATAATCATTTGTCGTGACTTCGCCCCAGCAGCGGCGGACACCACGGGACACCACGGGACACCGCGGGCGGACGGGGGAGTAATATTCGTGTTGATTTCGCCTTAGCAACAACAAGTTCATTCCTCTCGCGCGCCCACGCAGCTTCGCCTCGCCCGCCCGCACGACACGAACGAAACGAATTGATTTCCCGGTTGGGGGCCCCCGTAGCACTGCGATCTCACCCCGGGATCGCCGATGTTGGAATATTTTTGTGATATTGTTTTTTCCATCCAAAATCCGCCTGTGGGGGGACACACCCGACCTAGGCGCAGTGGACAAACATCGACCAAGCATAGCTCGGGGGCGGCCAGGGGGGGGGATGACTGGGGGGGGGGACGGGGGGGAATAGCATGGCTGGGGCCACGGTGTATCCACAGATTTCATGGCGCTTCTTCTTGTTTCAATGTGGTCTTTGGCCGCTCCTCGTCCACGCGCATGCCGCTGGTCATGATTTGCGAACCCCATTTTTGGACGCCCACCGGAAAGCACCGTAATAGCAGTGTATTTCCCGACCTCCCTGTGTGTAGGGTTCTTGTTTTTGGTCCGCGCGTCCCCCTGCTTCCTTCCTCCTCCTTCGCCTCCTCCTCCTTTTCATTCCCCTCGTCCCTCTTCTCATCGCTGTCGCGTCTGCTGATTTTGCTACACCCGTTTCGGCACACCCCATCACGCGTTTCGTGCCCCCAAAGGAGCTCTACCTATGGCCCCAGTGGGGGTATCCACATGACGTCTCCGCGCCCATTCCGACGCCCCTCTCACACGTTTCCTGCCCCCCAGGAAGCTCCACCTGTGGCCGCAGTGGGGGTGTCCACGTGGCGTCCCCGCGCGCACTGCGGCACACCCATCACGCCGCCATTGCCCCTGTGCCGAAGCGCAGCAGGAAGGATACCGAGTGTAGAAACAGCGCCATGCCGACGACTGCTGGTCTTGAGGAGGCCTTTTTTGGGGGGCCCCCCGGGGGCCGCCTCGGGGCCTCTGAGGGTTTCTTGGGGAGCTTTTCGGGGGCGTCCTGGGGCCGCTTGGGGGCCTGTTGGGGCCTCTTGGGCCGTCTTAGGAAAACTCTTTTCTCGTCTGACGCCTTCGAAGGCGTTCTTTGGGCGCCTCTCTGGGCCGTCTTGGTGCACCCTTGGAGCGTCTTCAGGCCGTCTTGGGGCCCTCTCAGGAGTCTCTTGGGCGATCTTGGGGTTGTCTTGGGCCTACTTCGGGCCCTCTTGGGAGCCTCACGGGCTGTCCGGGAGCCATCTTAGAGGCCCCTTGGGCCGTCCTGGCTGGTCCGAAACCCAAACACGTGAGAACCTCAACATCTTTCAAGAACCTAAGGCCCATGATCATCTATGATGTTTGCATCCTCGGGCTCTCCTGGATGATGATGCTGATGATGATGCTGTTGATGATGATGATGATGATGATGATGATGATGATGATGATGATGATGCTGATCATGTTCATGATGATGGTGATGGTGAGGGTGGCGATGATGATGATGATGCTGATGATGATGATGATGATGATGATGATGATGATACTGATGATGATGATGATGCTGATGATGATGATGATGATGATGATGATGATGCTGATCATGATGATGATGGTGTTGTTGATGATGCTGACACTCATGCTGATGCTGATGCTGACGCTGCTGCTGCTGATGATGCTGCTAATGATGATGCGTCTGATGATGCTGCTGATGATGCTGATGCTGATGTTGATGCTGCTGATGATGCTGATGATGCTGATGATGATGATGCTGATGATGATGATGATGATGCTGCTGATGATGATGATGATGATGATGATGATGATGATGATGATGATGATGATGATGATGATGATGATGATGATGATGATGATGATGATGATGATGATGATGATGATGATGATGATGATGATGATGATGATGATGATGATGATGATGATGATGATGATGGGAGGCAGGAGGAGGGGGAAAAGGAGGGAGAAGTGAACGCTGGGTGCCGTCTCTTCAAAACGAGGATCCAGGTACAAAGGATGTTTGGAAGGACTCAGGATAACACGCTGGTCTCTTGGAAGGGGTCCGGACCTCTGGGGGCCCATGTCATGAAAACAATATTGATGTCGGGGGCCCGGGGTCAGCTGTGGCAGGGGCATGGGGGTAAAGGGATGACGGAGTGCGTGCGATCCTACAATCTCCCATCCTCCGCCCGACGCGCACGTCATCTCCTGAATTCCAGAGACTTCCTGAGATTTTGGCCGAAGGCCTACATATATTTTGCCAGCCCTCCAGGGGCTGCCTCTTTTTGTGTTGGCCCGCCAGGGGCCATGTGACCAGGCCCGGCCGGGGCCTATGTACTTGAGGACCTCTAGAGAGCCTTCTGGAGGTCCACTGCCCGCCGCCGCCGTTTGGCCCTGCGGGCCCCGCAGGGCCCTTGACCAATTTACGGTCTTCCCCCCGGCGGGCGGCTGATGAGAGCTTTGGTGCCGCGCGCTGGAAAGAGAAAAGGATCCTGATCGCTTTGCGACTCCGCCAGTGGTAGCGGAGCCCGCCGCTGGCGGGCAGATCCACGGGCTCGGCGGCGCCGAGCAGCAGCAGCTCCAGCGGCGCTGGCGACGACTTTCGAGCTCGTCAGCGACGAGTACGACCAGGGCTCGACGGCATCGAGAGGTGATGCAGCATAGGATGGATCGTGATCGCGACGGCCATCCTGGTGGAGGCGGCGCCGAAGGCCACAGCTTCATCCAGGTCTGGGACGGCGCGCCACAGGGTTGGAGGCGGTATCGTGATGACGTGGAGATCTGGGCGCTGGGTGCCAACCTGGACATGGACTACTGCGCTGCGGCGCGGCTCGCGAGCTGGCTCAAGGGCGCTGCCAGGAGGATCGGCCTCAGGATCCCGAGGGAGCGTCTCCAGCCGCTCCAGGCTTCGCCAGCCGAGTACGATGACTATGGACAGCTAGTCCGCGAGGCGACGGAGGCCGATAACATGAGAGGCATCAACAATGTGTTCGAGGCGCTGGAGGCAGCGCTAGGCGGGCAATATGCGGCGCGGAGAGGCGAGACGATGTCCGATTTCTTCGAAGGCTTCCGGTACAACCGGAGGGCTGGCGAGCGCATGACGGATTTCGTGGCGAGGTTC